CTGGGGCTCTCAGAAAATCCGTGGCCCATCTTGGCCTATCAGCTCACTCACACGGGGAGAGGAAGCTCGTGAAGCTCCCGTAGATTTTATCCTCCCCTCCCGTGAATATGCAGCCATCACATCCACCCCTTGTTTTGATGGATCTAGATGCTCCAATCTGAGATGCGGTGCAGCAGCCGGAGCAGGGGAGGGAGGCTTCTTGGAAGACGCGGAGAGAATAACAGAATAATTCTTCACCGCCCCCAGCTCTTCTTGCCCGCCCTGCCATCCACCTTTACCATCCGCCCCTCCATTCTGTGGGGACTTGGGACTGCATCCATAATGGAAGCATGCTGGTGTGCTAGCCACGGGAGTCGGAGCACCCAGACCTCTTCCCCAGCATTACCTCAGAGCCAGCCAGGCCCCATTTCTCGTAGCTCAGCCTGTACCAGAGGCACAGGCGCAGGCAGACGTGTGTGTGTGTGTGCGTGTGTGTATTTTCCTTTACAAAGCATTTTTCTATTCCTTCTCCACATCCCCGCAAGGTCAGAGGATTTTATTAGCCCCATTTTAGATGAGAAAACTGAAGTAGAGAGAGACAAGCTGTTTTTGCATCCAGTTTCCCCGCTAATTAAGTAATGGACATTGGACTCTAGCTCAGGGTTGACTGATACATAGTCACTGATTTCCTCTCTGTTGCAAAATAGATCCTAGAAAAACAAACATGGAGTGCATTTGGGGATAAGAGATGTGTATTAGGGCTTGACGACTGTGAAAAGAAGGGGAAGGAAGCAGGACTGGAGGGAAAGAAGTCAAACCGCGATGCAGGTCTGATGACACCTCTGCCAACCTGGCCCGGCACGGAGGAGTGAGGAGAGGAAGGGGATGGCTAAGCCGTCAGGGCGTCTGAGCCGGCCTCTCCTCCCCGTTGGTCACAGTCCCTCCTTCGTGCTGCTTGGATCCATTTCTCCATTTGGGAAACACTTAGGGAGGGTCTTTTCAAACATTCTGCTGGCCCCCTCTTTCAGAGGGCGAACTTAGAAGGAGGAGGTCAGTGGGACAAATGCAGCTATCACCACTGGATTGGGACTCAGAGCTGTAATTGATGCTCATGATCGCCTTCCTCCTCTGTCCATTCTAGATTTCTTGTACCCTCACTCTGGTGGTTTATGTGATAATGTGGCCCTAAGGGGCCTGATCTTCTGGTCACCATGCTCTTCTCAGGCAAGGATGCCCATTTACAGACATAGTTTGTCAAGAGAGCATCGAAAGGTACCCAGTTGAATCATCTAGGGTTCACACATATTCCTCCCTGCCCCCACTGCACTGCAGCAGCCCTACCCTGTCTCATCAGACTAACTGATCTGAGTCGATCACCCTTCTCCAGATGGTGACCCTCCCCACCCCCACCCCCATTCTTGGCCTCTAGTCCCTGGATATGAGGATTCCAAGGCCCGTAGGTAGCTATCATAGCAAACAAACCAGAAACTCTTTCTGTGATCATTGGCACACATGGTCCTTTGGAGAGCAAGACATCTAATCCTACAGAACCCGGCCTTGAGGGGTGGGGATCACCAGTCCCCCGGTGGTTCGCTGGGAGTAGTGGTAAGTGGGACCCCTTGGGCTTCTACTTGTTGTTTCTCAAACCCTTGTATTCTTCTTATTGGGGACACAGCCTCTTATAAAGGGCTTTGATTCAGTGCACATACCGCCTCCTGCGGGGCGGACCCCGTCCTCACAGAACATTCCCTTCCAAGCGGCACTTTAGCTGAGCCTGCAGGAGAGCATTCCAGCACTCTGGAAGGTTGGCAGCGTCTGAGTGGGCCGTCTGTGATACAAACGGGTTCCTTACTCATAAGCCTGCTCCTGCACCTCTTTCACAGTAGAGCGGGTCCCCTGGTCTGACACATTATTATGTGGGCCCCCAGGCCAGTGGATCAGACACTCCCTGAACTCTCAGATGGTGGTTTTGGTGAGACCCCACAGGCAAGACAGACAACCTCCACCAGGAACATCGGTCTGGTCCTGCGAGAACAAACCACTGGCCTTTCCACATGTGAGGGCCCCAGTGTGGTCAGTTTGCCAGTTGGTCCCCTCGTGAAATGGTGCCAATTTCAGGAGCTCAGTAATGGTCCGTGGTACTTGCAGGTTGGTTTTGCAGCAGCAGCAGCAGCCGCTAAATCGGCCTTGGTAAGTGGAGTCCACGCCATTGCCCCCATGCCTGGCCTCCATCTCCGTTTTGCCAACACCAGGGTGGCCAGTGGTTGGTGTTAACTGTTGAGTCACTTCATTTACTTTGCCCCTTAGTGTCTTTTCCTTGTGGGATGGTCACCGCTGAGCATGAACACCTGATACAAAGACTCGAGCAGTTATTGAGTATTTCCTGTGTAAGTGCTGAGTTTTATATCTATTCATTCATTTAACGTGAGATAGGAACTCTCACCAATCCGATTTTACAACTGGGAAAACTGAGGCACAGAAAGTGTCAAACAATGTATTCAAGTCTACTCAGCTAGGGAGTAAAAGAGCCAGGGTTCAAATGCAGGCATCTGGCTCCACAGCCAGGGCTCCGATTCAGCGGGTCACATGGCTTCTCTGAACACTCAGAGAGATCCGGGTCCTGTTCTCTTTCTCTCCCAGGAAGTGTCTCAGCCTGATGATGCTCAGTAAATGAAAACAGATACAGAGTAGGAGAAGGTCTCAGTCATCTGAGAGATGTCATCAGTATATCCTCCCTTGTGTGGCCTCAGCCAGGCCCCAGTTACCCAGGGATGAGGATGCCTATGATCCAGCCTTATGGGGCAGAACCATTGCACTTGGGGGTACAGTGTCACCTTGTGAGATACCTTTGTTGAGCATCTACTATACACCAGTTTCTGTGCTGGAGAGTCACAAATGAACAAAAACAGACCCTTCCTTACCCTTCAGGATTCAAAGGGGCAGAGGATAGGGAAGGGTCAGGTTTGAAATGACGCCCCTGGTGGGTTTCATAATGCAAAGTAAATAGAACCCATAAGGGCCTGTAACGGGAGTTCTGAACCAGCCAGGGGAGTTAGGGAGGGCTTCCCAGAGGAGGTGACGCTAGGAGCATCATCAAAAGCCTGCAAATGCACTCATATTGCTCAGAAACACATTGTGGAAGGGAATGGAATGACAACTGGGTGTCTGGACAAAACGATGATTAAGATCCCTAGAATTCTAAAACCCTGTGATTCTGACTCAACATTTTATAATTTTAAGATTCTATTCATTGACGATTCTAAGACAGGAATTTCAGATCCTGGGAGTCAAGGACTTTTGGGTTCTAAGGTGCTGAGATTCTCAGATTTGAGTCTTTGCTGCTGGAAAAATGCCAGTCAGAACATTCCATGGGCCGGAAGCTGGCTTTCTCCCTTCCTGGGCCCCCAGCCAGGCCCGGAACCCAGATACATATGCAGCTCTTTGTGGCTTAGAGAATGTAAATTTATTCTGCGGTTCCATCATAAGGCACTCACCTTATCTGCATGTTTCAGTCATCAGAATAAATATTAGGAGACAAGTCTGTGGAGATTTTCTGTGTGTACATGAGTTAAATCCTCCAGCCAGTGGTTAATCCAGGCAGAGATTTCTACAGAAACGCTTTTCTTATATTAATTACAAGGAAGGGCTGGTAAGCTGGCCTCTATTACTATCTGAGGAGAGCTCCTGTCTCCTGTGGAAGGGACTGAGAGGGGCCTTTGTATGCAGGGGTTTTGGCTGAGGCAGGAGGGGGCAAGAGGAGGAATGATCCCCAGCGGTTCTGGGCCATGTGTGTGTATGGATGGCCCTTCTCTGGGAGCATCTGGGAATCTCTTTGTGAACCCATGGGTCTGGGTTCACAGGGGCTGGTGCTCTAGGAAACTTCCAGAGGGGTAAGAGGGGAGGGCAGCCCCCACCCCAGGTCAGACAATGTGCTGGGCACTGAGTGGGCTCCAAAGTCAGACAGAAAGGCTAATCTCAGCTCCCTGCTCACCTGCTCAGTCATGTGACCTCAAAGAAGCCACATCACCTCTTGAGATTCAGTATCTTCAAAGTGACCAATGGTTTTACCACCCCATCGGCCTGGTGGTTCTGAGAATTAGAGGGAACCACAGGTGCCAGGCACCTGATTCGCATCAATCCCAGTAAATGCTCCCATAATGCCTGCAGGGGGCAGGCACCCCTGGCAGCACTTCACACAGGCGTGCTCTTCATCCAGCCCAGTGAGGAGGCGCTGTCATTATCCCCACTTCACAGATGAGGAAACTGAGACAAAAAGAGGTTAAGTAATTTGCCCAACATTAAATGGGTAGAAAAATGGCAGAGGCAGGATTTGTAATCAGGCAGTTGGCTCCCAAATCCATGAACTTAAACATTACATTTAAATTTTTCCAACACCTCTCCTAGCTGGATGCCCAAGAATGGGTCACGTTTCAGCGCTGGTACCCCAGGATCTCCCCCACCTTCAGCTGTGGCAGATGCTCGGGGTATAGCCAGGCAGCGGCGAAATGCGATTGATGTCTCCAGGCCTTTGCTCATGCTGTGCCCTCTCCCTAAACACTTTTCCTCCTCCCTGCCTTGTCCATCAACATTCACTGAGTTTGGCCCCTGTCCTAGGCTCACATTCCAGGAGGGAACACAAACACTGTGATATTGGTATTATTATCCCCATCTTAAAGGAACAAAAACTCTCATCCATTACTTTGTGGGAATGCAAAATGGTACAGCCACTTTTGAAAGACAGTTTGGCAATTTCTTACAAAACTAAACATACTCTTTCCATATGATCCAGCAGTCGTGCTTCTTAATGCTCACCTAAAGGAGGTGAAAATGTGTGTCCACACAAAACCCTGCACACGGGTATCTGTTCATAATTGTCAACATTTAGAAACAACCAAGATATCCTTCAGTAGGTGAATGGATAAATAAACTGTGATACATCTAAGCAATGAAATATTATTAAGCAGTAAAAAGAAACGAGCTATCAAGCCATAAAAAGACATGAAAGAAACTTAAATGCATAATATTAAGTGAAAGAAACTAATCTGAAAATGCTACATACAATATGATTCCAACTATATGACATTCTGGAAAAGGCAAAACTGTGGAGACAATAAACGGATGAGTGTTTGCTGGGTTGAGGAGGAGGCAGGTGAATTGGCTGAATACGGAGGATTTGTAGGTCAGTGAAAACACTTGGTATGATATTATAATGATGAATATATGTCATTACACATTCATCTAAACCTAGAGAATGTACAACACCAAGAGTGAACCCTAAGGTAAACTATGGACTTTAAATGATTATGATGTATTAATGTAGGTTCATCCTTTGCAAAAAATGTACCATTCTGGTGAGTAATATGTTGATAATTGGGGAGACTGTGCATGTGTGAGGGCAGGGAGTATATGGGAAATCTCTGTACCTTCCTCTCGATTTTATTGTAAACCTAAAACAGGTCTAAAAATTCATCTTTAAAAAAAAAAAACAGGCAATAAATGTAGAACCATATTAATACAATAACATGGCAGGCATCGCTTAAATTCTTTTTACCTCTCCACTTTTAGAATTATGAACAACTGCCCAGTTCTTTTTCATTAGCAAACCTGTACCAATTGATGGCCAAATGAAATTAATTGGCCACAGTGAAGAATGAGTTTGACCTAGGCCAATGTTCCACGGTTTGACCAAGACGAGATGAGAATGGGGAAAGTCTGTAAAGGAAATACCAGCCACATGGACACAGGGGGTCATCGTCCCTCAGTGGTTTTCATGTGGCCTCCATCCAGGCTGGGGTCCAGGCCACCATGCTTGCTCATCAGCGCCATGGCTCCAGCCTTCTGTTTTGCCAACTCCAATGCCATCTCCCAGCTCCAGGTGATGGGTAGGAAGTGTCTAGACCAGCACCTGGTGGGAAAAGATGCTTGAGCATTGACTGTTCTCATGACAGGCTATGACTATAGCAGGGTCCTTACACTGGGAGGTCCACAGTCAGGGAGAGAGCCAGTCACAGAGACAAAAAAACAGAGGGATGTCAGGTCGGCACTCCCAAGCACCTCCTCATCCCGCTCCCATTCACGCCCCGGAGCTGGTCAGGGCAGGATGCCCACACCCTACCCCTGACCCCCAGCCCTGCTCGTACAGATGAGGAAACTGAGGCTCTGAGGGTGGTGCAGCCAGAGGGCTGGAAGCATGAGGTCTGTGGTCCAACAGACCTGGGAGGGCACCACTTGCTTCCATAGGACCTGGGAGAGTGACTCAATCTCTCTACACCTATTTCCTTATATGTAAAATAGAGATGTTTTTCTTCACGCAGTTGTTGTGCCGAATTAAACTATATAAGTGTATATGAATGACTTGGCACATAGTACGTGGCTCAATAAAGTTAGTTAAAAGAATGATAACAATAATAAGTACTAATGTTAATTTAGTAAAATGACTTGGCCTTAGAGCTTTAGATCTGTGGCCTGTTTGCAGGGTAAATCTGATGCCAGGCTGGTTTTGTCTGTTTTTTGCCCCTGCCATGACTGTCAGGGACCTCAGATCTTGGCTCTATGATCTCAAGACCATTTCATTTCATTTCTCAGTAAAATGATTGGTTTTACCGAATATATACATGGCCACAAGTTCGTGAGTCTTCATGTATTAGAAATCATTTCTTTCTGCCCCCTCGTACTCAAATTCCTGGCTGAGGGCTTCCCACATTCAAGTATGGGGGGCTATGTTGCTTAAAGAAATTATGATGTGGCCTTTTTTAACTATTAATAAATGATTGATTTATCTGATTATGGAGTCGACACTTTCAACATGTAAAAACATTAGTTTGTAAAACCTCACAATTAATAATGCTATTTTCTACCATTTACGTATTTGCACTGACCAGGCTCAGAATGGCTCTTATGAGAGGTACGTAGTGGAGAGCAGAGAAGACGGATTCCTGTTTTGGGTTGTTTATATCTTCATGGGGCTGGGGGATGGGCAATGGGGAGAGAGATAAAAATAGAGGGTCATGTGCAAAGGCCCAGAGGTAAGAAGGGGCATGACACAGAAGAGGAGCTGAAGGGGTGACTGATGGACACGTCAGGGCCACATCTGATGTGGCCTGGAAGCCCCCATCAGGGTCCTGTTCTTTATCCCAAATAGCGGGCAGCCCAAAGACTAGTATACCTCGATCTCAGAGTGAGGGGCAATTCTCGTGGAAAACAAGGGGAGGCAGTCCAGAGCTCTCAGCATTGACACGGCCACTCCACTTGCCACTAAACCCAGACCCCAAAGCCAAGGTCGATGGCCCACATCATCTCCCACCCAGACAAGGGTTCCAGACACAACGGTGAGAGTCACTCTCCTAATGCCACTAGCACCTACTCATTGTCAGATATGAGTGAGAAATCCTCTTAATGAAATAATTTTAAAAAGACAAATTGACAAGCCAGGATGTGGGGGAATGTGGTATCCCTGCCGGTGTTGGAATGTCCCTCAGCGGTTTCACTATCTTGTCTGGACAGAGTGGGGGGTCCAACTTCACTGTGCCTCTGCAGGATGATTTATGACCCTAAGGGCAGAGGAAAAGAGCAGACACATACCTGCACCTCCTAACACTGTGCACAGACTCTCAGAAAAGCCCAGCCAGTCCATCAAGTTCGTTGCTAAATTACACCGATTTTAAATGCATCGCCCAAACTGAGGTCGCTCATTTGAGAGATGTTAACAGTTGATAACTTTATACCAACAGATTACGTTGACCTTTTTTTCATTTTATCGAGAGCCTGTGACAATCTCACCCCAGGCAGCGGTGACATCGGGTTAAAGCCTGTCCCTCAGGCCCAATCAGGCCTGGGGAGACCCTCATTTACTGGCCCCTCCAGAGCTAAAGGAGTCCCTGAGTGAGAACTCTACTCCATAGACTTAATTTTATCACCCTCCACCCAAGTCCATGCCTCCTGTCCAGCCCATCCCTCCCTTATCTGTTCCAGGCTTAGAATTCTGGACCAACCAGTCCCAGGCTGGGGATTCATCTGGCGGCTAAGGCAGAAATGAGAGAGCATCTGTTGTGGATCAGGAGAGTGAGTCCTGGTCCCTGTTCTGTCACTGAACCTCTACATGACCTTGAACAGGTTATAGCCCCACTCTGGGCCTTAGTTTCCCAACTGAGGGTGTTGAACAAGATGATCTCCCTAGCTCCTCTCCACTCCAGTGGTCCAAGAATCTACGATTCTGTGTGGGAAGGTCCTTGCTTAGGTATCTGGAAACAAATGACAGTGTCTATTGATAATGGTCTCTATTTGGAAGGTGAGAAAGGAGAAAACAATGTTAGCCTAATTGTGAATCATAATCAAAAACAAAAAGACAACCACACGCTGGCCACCACTGACCTGACAGAGGAATATTTTTGTTCTCACAGCGACTGAATTGCACTAAGCCAAGATGGTGTGCCAAGATGATAAGAACTCAGTCCCAACTCTAATATGTTGGGTTCAAAATTAACCGAGCCAATGAAAAGGAACGGAGCCCTTGATGTAAGAACCTGGAGGAAGATGGGTCAGGGAGGAGGGAGGCCTGGCTTTTGATGACAGGACAACGGTGGAAGGAATGGGGGTGAGCATATAAATAACAACAATATTAGTAACAGCTAATAGGTATCATGTGCCAGCCTCCTTGTCAGGGGTCTTCGTGAAGCAGCTAGCCCAGGGCCCAGCACACAATAGTTGTCCATGCTGGGTAGACTGATTAATCCAGTAACCGCCAGTGAGGCCTATTTTTGATGACGCTGAAAGGGTACCTCCTCACATATCTGCCACATGCAGCCCAGCTCTCAGGGAACTTCTAAGAATGATGAGATTAGAGGAGAAAGTGGACAAGCCTCCCCACGTCCCCAGTCACAGCAGCATTCACAAACGCCTGCCCGCTGCGCGTGCGAGGCTGCCCCTTCACACTGCCAAGGTCAGACTGTGTCTTCACATCTCGAACATGGCCATAACACAAGCATCTCTGAAAGGCTTAGAAGAAATCCCGCCTGCGCATCCCTGCCCATTCAGGCACCTCTCAGGCCCCGGCTCTGATAACTGCTCTGTTGCCATCAAGGCCCAGCTGTTTTCATGGGGACTTTAAATAACTCCCTCTGCTGCCAAGAAATTTACATCCTGCGGAGACATGTGCAGCCGCAAACAGACATCGAGAGAAGTTCAATGCCCGGAGGCTGTTGGAAAACGACCACGAAGTGCCCTCCCTGTTTTTCTGTCCTCCAGCATGTCAGCTTCTAATGACTCAGCAGATATCACCACAGAGCAATGGGTCATGGGCAGGACTCTGGGCACCAAGAGAAAGATTAGACACCTTCCTGTGTTTGAGGGGGGTCTTAGTCAGATGGGGGAGACAGACACACCAGCAACACGCATCATCCCACTTGCAAAGAACCAGACTAGAGGTCACAACAGTGGCTGGCATTCCATGAGCACCTCCCGTACACAACTCTGCTCATTTAGTGCCTACTCTGCGCTGGGCCCAAAGCCAGGTGATTCACAGAGCTTGTCGCTAACTCTCACAACCACAGTCCCTGCTATAAGGTCAGTTAATCATTCCCATTTTAGAGATGAGGACTCTTAGACTCAGAGAAGTTGAGGAGCTCACTCGGGTCGCACAGCCAGAGAGTAGAGTTGAGTGTGTGGACAGCCAGCATCATTGCGACTGGGGTGGACCCAAAGCAGGTCTGGTCGGCGGATCTGGTGGTCAGAGCCTGGAGGGGGTGCTGGACTGCATTGTCTCCTTCTGATTGTGGAGGTTCCTCAAGGTCCCTCTCATGAGCCCAGCTGAGTTTGGTTGTCCCAGCATAGCTGCCAAGCAAGAGGCAAGAAACAAATTTACTTCGTGTATTGTCCTCCTTATCCCTATCCCCACCTCATCTTTCCCCACTCTTTATCTACATGGTTTAGCTATAGGGCTGAGACCACACTTGGCGCTAGGGGTGAGCATGTGACTCAGGGTTAACCAATCAGTAATTTCTTCCCCTGGCCATTGTGACTCAAGTTGGTCCTATCAGAATTAGATCATGGTTGTTTTTTCTTTCTTTCTTTTTTTTTCTGAAAAATTTAAGAGTACCTAAGTTGATCAGTATGAACCAGAATTGCTGGCAGTATCTTGAGAACAGCCTGCTTGAGATATTGAGAGTCAGACAGACAGACAGACACAGAGAGAGACAGAGACACTGAGATATTGAGAGACAGACAGACAGACAGACAGACACAGAGAGAGACAGAGAGACAGAGAGACAGAGAGTTTTTTGGCACCAAGGACCCACACTGACTCTGAGCCCCAAGAAGGTGGACAGCACCTCCTGCCTTGCTCCCCGATGTATTCCCAGCTCTGAAATGCTGCCCAGAACAGAGTGGTTGCAGTTTGTTGGAGCCCCCTTGAGTCAAAACAGGCCTGGAGCTGGCAACACCCGCTTCACCCCACTTCCCTGAGCAAATATGTTGTCTTTTCTACCTAAACCAATCTGAGTTGAATTCAATCATAGCTCAACAAGCCCTAATCCTGCACTGTAGCTCCCCATCCCCACACATCTGGAGGAACACAGTGTCCAGCATGTGGTAAGTGCTAAGTAATATTTACATAGTCAACAAAGAAGTGAATGAACTTGGCCATTTCTCCTTCCTTTGCCCCTCACTCTCTCCACTTCCCTGAGAGCTACACCCATCCTTTCAAGCTGCAGAGGGCCTAGTTGGACCATCAATCACGGGTATATAAAAGAAGCCTGATGAACAACAAGCTGCCTTCCCCCACAGCGGCAGTAGTGTCTGCTCACTGTGCCCTTGGAGGATGGCTGGGCTCAAAGAAGTGGTCAGTGTTCCTGTGTAGGAGCAGTAACCCCAGGACATAATAGAAATGGGCTCAGAATGGCCAGACTGGGACCAGGACCCTGCTCTCCTGGCCAGTGGATGCTGGAAGAGAAGGATAATAAAAGTAACTCTGCACACATTCACATGGACAAGTCCACATGGACTAACGAGCCAGTTGAAGGAGGCTGAAATCCTGCCATGTGACCTTGGGCAAACCACATCCTTTCCCCAGGTCTGAGGTTTTTCGTCTGCAAAATGGTCCAGCTAACAGGGCTGTTGTGAGAAGTAAACGGGGTAAGGATTTGGCTCAATGACTGATACGTAGCAAGTGCACAGTAAATAGCCATGCATTATTGGCCCAACTTTGCTCTGTCCCTGCATCCTGGGCTTGCAGGAGAAGGTTGACAGAAAGCTGCCTAGAGTTTCAGGAGGAGCAGAGACCCAGGGTCCCCACATTCTACCAGACACTGGCTGCCTGAACATTTGTCACTCATGTGGGCCCCAGGATGCCCAGAAAGGCTGGGCACTCTGCAGAGCACACCGAAGTGGGGCTGGGTCCACAGTGACAGGATGATGTCCCTGACATTCCCACTGGACACTGTGCTCTAACCATAAGGTATGTGCTTTAACAATACCTTGATTTCCATCACCATAGAACACATGCATGAATAGATGCATAAGTAAACGAAGGAAGGAACAAATGAATTTAAATACCTCGTTTTACATGGAGAAGATGGTGCCCCAGAGAAATCAAGTGAGTTGCCCAAGATCACACAGCTCAGGATGGCAGAGCAGGTCCCAACCTTAACCTTCTGTCTCTGAGGTCCTTGCTTCGTTCCCCCCGCCCCACCCTGCCCTGCAGAGTATGGGGAAGGAGTAAGAAGAGGAAGAGGCCAGTGTGAGCTGGAGGCATAGGGAGGAGGACAAATTGGAGAACATGCAGGGAAGAGGAGAAGCCCGCAGTTTGTTGCTCCCTGATTTTCAGGCCTCTGGGTCTGGAATTCTCCATGAGCAGGTTCGAGGTCTTCCGTGAGCAAGTGCCCCAGGAACCTCTCTACCTCAGACTAGGTAGAGCTGCTTCCTGGTGGGTTAGAGGCAGCTCCCAAGAAGGGAGTGATAGGCAGGGCAGAGCAGGGGCACCTGAGAATGTTCTGTCCTTTTGGTTTCTGTCCCAGGTGCTCTTGATTGGGAGTGAGGATGGCTGTGTCCTTGCCCATCTGTTGTAAGGGGACAATGGTCTCACAAGCACTCTGATGGGGCCATTAGAACACATTGCATAAACCATTTGGCCCCACCAGACACAATTCCTGCAAACTGTCTCATCAGCCTGAGAACTGCATAGCCCTCCAGCCCTGGGATTGCCCTGCAAATTCCCCATGCAAACAGCAGCCTGCAAAGGTAAGAATCCCCCATTATGTCCACAACCAGGAAATTAGCTCGTTTTCCTTCTGTTCTCTTCTGATGCCATGTTGACAGCCCATTTCCCCGTAATGAGCCTGCAGAAGCAAAGCAACACCACGCGCGGCATGAAAACACACATCAGCTCAGTGGCTCTGTGGAGCCTACTCCATGGGCTGGTGAGCTGGGGCAGCCGGGGCTATATGGGGAGCCAGACACCCGACTGCGTGGGAGATGCGTCCATTCTCTGCACTGGCTGCTTTCCAGAAGGGCTTGGACGCTGAGTCAGTGATTCAGCCTCTAAATCTCAAGTCCCATTTACCTCCTGTGGGCCTTTCTTTGACAAACAGTTACTGATGCAACTTAGCTGAGGACTCTAAGGGGACACCTGGCTATGGGGAGACAGATTCTTGCTTCCCGGGCTGCTTGTCTTGGAAAGATAAGTATGCTCATAGAGGGAGGCCCTAGGTGGGACAGCAATCTTTGCATTATCCATGCAGATTCCCTTTCTGCCCCCGCCCCGAGGTCCCCATGAGAGAGCTAGACTCTGGAGGGCAGGCAAGGTCACGTCTTCATCTTCTGCGCTCTCCCCTCCACACAGGAGGTCTGGGATGCTTCCCTGGACCAGAACCTTGCGGAACTCACAGCAGAAGCTGAGGAGCACTGGACGGCAGGAAGAAGGAGGTGGAGAAACTAAAGGGTCCTGCTTCAGAGGCACCGATAGAACTGGAGGCAGAGAAGACACTTGGGAGTGAAGAAATCAGAAAAGATTCAGCGTTAAAAGTGGTCACACGGTGACCTGTGACATTTTGCTTAATCAGAAAGAAATTGCTCTGCGCCTCGAGTAGACTGGGAGGTTTCTGGAGCAGAACATTCTTTACATTTCTCACATTTCATTTGTGCTGAGCTGGACGCAACCCAGGTTCCAGGAGCCAGAGAGAAACTCCAGCGCCCGGGCCTGGGAGAGAGCAGAGGCTCCGACCTGGGGTCTGAGCGCACCCTCTCCTCACCAGCCTTGTGAATGCCCACGAGTTCCCGTCTAGTGAAGAATCTTCCTGTGTCCCAGGCCTGGGGGGATCAGGGTGATGGACACAAGGCCAAGAACACAGGGCCGAGGACAGAGGGCCTGTGCGCTGTCAGAGCTCAGGAAACTTATGTGGGTTGAAGAACAACTGCAGAGATGGCCAGAATCTGAGGTCTCGGAGTCACTGACTCACCTCCTCTCCCTCACTCCTCACCCCTGCCTGAGGGTTGGAGCTGCTCCACCGAGCACATTGTCCAAGGACTCAGAGCTAGCCCTAGAGGCCCACATCAGATGCTGGCCCACCCTCTTCCCATGACCTCAGATTGTATTTCTAGGTCCCATTGGGGTCATATTCCTATGGGACTGCGAGGCCTTCCTGGCCATGTCACAGGACCTAAGTGCTAAGCCCAACCAAGCCTTCAAGCTCTTCTTTCTCCAGGCCCTAACCCATCCCTGCTCCCTGAGGGCAGATTGATCCTAGCGGGCCCCTTCAGGGCCAGGTGACTTGACTTCACACCTTTCATACCCCATTACACCTTTCTGGGGCTGCAGTCCACCCTGACCCCCAAGGTTGTTGTGAGGGTGCAGTGAAGTCATTTGCATAAAGCTGGGGCATTTGGCCAGCATGGTGTGGATGCACCTGCTGTTCTTTCTACGGAAAGTTCTTCCCACCCTGCAGCTCCCTCCTCCTCGGGCACATCTCAACCCCTCCCCAAGATTCCCCCACCCACAGCCTCCCCAAATCTGGCATTTGTTTCTCATTATCATTTTTTCATTTGCAGCACTTTTCAAATCATGTAAATTTTTGTGATTGTTGTTCATTTACTCGTTTATTTGGCTGTTTCTCCAACTGTGCCCAAGCACTCCCTGAGGGCGGGGGTCTATGGATCTCATTCATGTCTGTGTCGTGCTCAGCACAGAGCCTGGCACCCAGAGGATCTTGATATGCACCTGCTGGTTGAAGGGCTGGATGAGGAGAGGGACTGGGTTGTATCACTCAGGGCAGGTGAGGTGCTGTAACAAATAGCCCCACATCTCAGTGGCTTCACCCAAGAGGAGCCAGTTTCTCTCCCACATGTTGCTGGTCCAGGGATCTCCCCCAGCAAGGCACCTTCTCTGAGCAGTGATACAGGAATTCAGCAACTTCCGTCTGTGATGATGTCATCTACACACATGGCCTCCAGAGTCACCAGGGAAGGGGACTGAGTGAGGGTAAGGTCAGTAGGTCATCAACCAGCTCAGCCCAGAGGGGCCCATATCATTCCCACCCACATTCCATTAGCCAGAAGTGCCACCTGCCTCCATCTGAATGCCCAGGGAGCTGAAAAATGTTGGCCCAGGCTGGGCAGGCAACCCCAGCACCAACCCTGCTCTGTGGGAGTGTGAACAGCAGCTGTCAGCCATCTCTGCCCCTCTTCTCTGGAACCCCTAGGCCCAAGTCCTACCTTGGCCTCTGGCTGACATGCTTGGGTCAGGTGGGGAGAGGGAGACCACAACAACCCAGGAAAGGGCTCCCAGTGCTGCTCCCCACACTTGGCTGAGGAGGGAGAAGTTCTGGGCTGTTTCGAGCTGATTGTGTTCGGAACTTTCTGTGTCTGCCAAGTTGCTAATTCCGGTGCCATCTGCCTGTGTTTCCAGCCCCGAAGCCCCGGGATAAACAGTTTTCTTCTGCAATTCTTAAAGAAAGTTTTGGCAGGGGGCGGAGAGAGAGATTGGAGGGAGGCCTCAGAACATCTCGTCCTCTGAAGAGGAGGCACTGCCCTGCAGAGGGATGTTGGAAGGACTGGAGTTCAGTTTGCATGGAGCTCTGAGCCTCATAAGAACCACCTAAGGTTGCTGTGTTTGCCCCATTTTACAGATGAGAGACAAGAGGCCCAAACGAATCAAATATACTGAAGGTCAAATGTCTGTTAGAGCTGCACAGAGCTGGGGGCTGCTCATTTTCCATCGTGCCCCTTCATGTGTCCGTCCCTCTTGCTGGGAGTACCCTGCCCCTCACCCCAGAATTCTGAGATCAGAAAAACTCAAAATTAAAAAGGAGGTTCAGAGCTGTAGCGGGTTTTGCTGGCAGAGCCACACAGCGAGGGGTGGCTGGGACAGTGTCGGAAGGCAAAGACTTTTGAGGGGCAGGACTGGGAATGAATCCCCAGCTTCACCCAGACCTGGCTCTGCAACTCTATGGGACCCGAACCCTCTCTGTGAAACAGCAATAAAACCTCTCCCTTCTCCACAACCATGGAATGACTACGTGACGTGTGGCAACAGACGTTTGTTCCCCTTCCACTCACGGGTTTTAACCATCACCTCCAAGAACACTGAGCCTGTGCCCTCAATCCCATCACACAAAGTTTCCCAGAAAATCCCTTTACTTCCCCAAGGCTGGGTGTAAAGGTCACTGTGATTTGGGTCAAAATTAGTAACCAGGATAGATCAGGTTTGTAATCTGCATTCCAGGTCTCGGCTGCCTCGTTTCTGGAGTAAAATTGGCTTGGGACAGAATGCTAGCTCTGTCACCTACCTACCATGTGACATTACACTAGTCATTTCACTATGCATAAGTGTCCTTGTTCATAAAATGGGGATCATAATGGAAACTCCCTCATATTTTATTTAAAAATAAAAGGAAAAACCAGAAAGTATAAAAGTTCTTAGTACTAAGTCAGAGACAAAATATTAACACTAGTTAGGAATTATTTTTAACAGATTGATTGAGGTATACTTGGCATATGATAAACGGTATGTTTAAGTGTACAATTTGATAGGTTTTGTCATGTGTGTACATCTGTGAAACCATCGCCACGATCAAAATGGTGAACACATTCATCACCCCGAACGTTTCCTCGTGCCCCTTTGTAACGCTGACCTGCCGCCCATGCCCACTCCACTCTGTCCTGTGGCAAACCCCCATCTGCTTTTAATCACTATAGATTGGTTGGCCTTTTCTGGAATTTGATATAAATGGAACCATACCTTAAGTAATCTTTTTTGTCTGGTTTCTTTTACTCAGCATAATTATTTTGAGATTTATCCATCTTGTCGCATGTCTCAATAGTTCATTATTTATGAGCAGTTTTCCCTTGCACGGATAGAGTGTGTTTATCTATTGATGATACTGTTGATAAATATTTAGGTTGTCTCCAATTTGAAACCATTACAAACAAAACTGCTCTGAACATTTGGGTGAAATTTCTCTCTCATTTGTGTTTTATCAGCACCTCACGAATTTTTATATGTTATGTTTCTATTTTTATTCAGTTCAAGATACTTCATAATTTTCCTTTGGATTTCTTCTTTGTACCATAAGTTACTTAGAAGTATGTTATTTAAGTTTCCAAATATTTGAGTATTTTACAGATATCTTGCTATTGTTGAATTCTAAATTAATTCTTTTTTGGTCAGCAGAACAAGCATTGTATGACTTGAATCATTTAAATATTTTTGAGATTTGTTTTATGTAACCTAGAATTTCATCTATCTTGGTAAATATTCTCTGTGCCTTGGAAAAGATAGTGTATTCTGCTGTTGCCTGGTAGAATGTTCTATAAATGCCAATTAGGTTAAGTTTGTTGAAGTTGTTGTTCAAGTCTGTACTCTTACTAATTTCTGGCAATTTGTTCTCTCAGTTATTAAGAGAGAGATATTGTAATCTCTGTGCAATTGTGACTTGTTTATTTCTTGTTGAAAAAAATATATGAAAGTTTCATATCTTTTCCTTGATGTATTTTGAACCTGTAATTAGGTTTATAAACATTAATGATTGATATATCTTCTTAATGAATTGACAGCTTTATTATTATGAAACGACCCTCTTAATTTCTGATAATATTGTTTGCATTGATGTCTCCTTCATCTGTTATTGACAGCACCACTCCAGCTTTTTTTGATAGTGTTCCATGATATAAATTTTTCCATCCCTTACTTACAACCAGTCTTTGTATTTAAAACAGGTTTCTTGTAGGCAGCTGGGTCTTGCTTTTATATTCAATATGAAAATCTCTGCCCTTTAATTGGATATATTTAATGTGATTACTGATATGATTGGTTTTAAATTTACCATCTTGCTATTTATTTTCTGTTTCTTTCTATTTCTTCCAACTGTTCTTTGTTCCCTTTCCTTCTTTATCTGCCTCCTTTCCTTTTGGAAACTTTAATCAAGTAATTTTTATGATTCCATATCTTCCATGACTCTACTTAGCATTTCCAGTCTTTCACCTATATTTCTGAATATATGAAATAATGTAATAATAATTGGGTTTGTGGTTCTTATTTACTAATTATATCATTTGTGTCAGTTCTAAGTCAGTTTTGATTGATTTTTATACTCACTATAAGTCATATTTTCCTGCTTCTTTGTTTGCTTGGAAATTTTTTATTGAATGCTAGTCATTGTGTGTTTTGTCTTTTGGGGTACTTGGTATTTCTGTATCCTTATAAATACTTGTACACTTATTTCTGGAACACAATTAAGTAACATGGACACATGTGTTTCAAGTCTTGCTTTTAAGCTTTGTTAAACATGAACAGAGTAGCATTTTGGCTAAGGCCAGTTTTCTGAATACTCTAGCCCAGCGGTCCCCAACTT